TGTAAAACCTTTTAAGTTTGATGTAGTCCCATTTGTTTATTTTTTCTTTTGTTTCCTTTGCCTAAGGAGATGCATCAGAAAAAATATTGCTACCAGAAATGTCTGAGATTTTATTGCTTATGTTTTCTTCTAGGATTTTTATGGTTTTATAACTTACATTTAAGTCTTTAATCCATTTTGAGTTTATTCTTGTGTTTGGTGTAAGGAGGTGGTATTGTTTCATTTTTTTGCATCTATTTGTCCAATTTTCCCAGCACCATTTATTGTATAGACTGTCTTTACCCCATTGTATGTTTCACCTCTTTTGTCAAATTGACCACATAGACGTGAGTTTATTTCTGAGCTCTCTGTTCTGTTCCGTTGATATATATATATATATGTGTTTTTATGCCAGTACCATGATGTTTTGATTACTATAGAATTGCATTATAGTTTGATATCAGGTAGTGTGTTCCCCCAACTTTGTTCTTCTTTCTCAAGGTTTCTGAGGCTATTTGGGGTTTTTTGTGGTTCCATATAAATATTTGGATTGTTTGTTCTAGTTCAGCAAAATATGCCATTGGTATTTTGACAGGGATTGACTTGAATCTATAGATTGCTTTGGGTGGTATGGACATTTTAATGATGTTAATTCTTCCTGTCCATGAACATGGTATATGCCTCCATTTATTTGTATCTTTTTTTATTTCTTTCTTCAGTGCCTTGCAGTTTCTGAGTACAGGTCTTTTACCTCCTTGATTAAATTTATTCCTAGGTATTTTCTTTTGTTGCTGTTGGAAATGGGGTTGTTTTCGTAGTTTTCCTCTCTGATAGTTCATTATTGGTGTATAAAAATGCAACTGATTTTTGAATATTAATTTTGTATTCTGCTACTTTACTGAATTCATTTATCAGTTCTAGTAGTTTTTTTGGTACAATCCTTAGGGTTCTCTATACAGTATCATGTCATCTGCACATAATGAGAACTTTACTTCTTCCTTTCCAATTTGCCTTTTATTTCTTCCCTTTCTCTGATTGCTGTGGCTAGGACTTCCAGTACTAGGTTGAATTAGAGTGGTGAAAGCGGACATCCCTGTCTTGTTCCTGATCTCAAGGGAAACACTTCCAGTTTTTGCCTCTCAGGTGTGATGTTGTCTGTGGGTTTGTCATATATGGCCTTTATTATGTTGAGATTTTGCAGGCACTTCATTATTTCTCGTTCCATCAAGGCCTGGAATAGTGTTCCTGGGAATTGACAAAAGTCTCCGCCCTTTATTTTTTCTATTTTTTTTTCTTCTTTCAAATTTTCTTACTGATTTCTGACTACTGATAGACTTCTCTCCCTCTCTTTATGAAAACTGTGGTAACAAGATGTATGGTCCTCTTTTATTAGGTGGTCTGAGGGTTTATATAGAAAGTGTTTGAATATACACAAACATTAATATTTATCTGTGGATTACCCTGGGGGAAAGAATAAGGGTAGAAAGAATTATGAAATAAACTAAAATTTCCACAGTAAACGAGAGCAAACAAAACAGTGCAGCTAGATGAATTGTTCTGGATGTTTTTCTGTAAAGTAGAGAGCATATCAGATTTTCACCTTTTGTCAGTTGGAATCCTAACTTTCTCTGTTTTCTATTTATCTATTTATTTATTTGAAATAAGATTCTACAGGAGAAAGTTAAAAAGTCTTGGACAGTTGTGGATGCAAGAACCCTAAGAAAGGAAGACATACAAAAGGAAACCGTTTATTGCTTGAATGACGATGATGAAACTGAAGTTCCAAAAGAAGATACTATTCAAGGTATGCTAGTAAGAGTTTCCACTTTTGCCTAAAAGAAATGTTCTTCAAGGTGATATGAGGCAGGCTGAAATTCGTATTATTATTATTTGTCTAGAGATATTTCTCAGTTCTAGAGACAGCTCTTTGAGGGGATCACGGACATAGCTACTTTAGCTCATCTGTTGGGTGCGAGGCAGCACGGTTCCCAGGAGTGCACTTGGGTATTCCATTCCTTGAGCCTAAAAGTCTAATATGACAGGACTTAATACTTGGCTTTGTTTTAAAGTTTGAAACTTACTAGCTAGGAAAATGCTTATATCAGTGTGACCAAAGGAAGTTTTTTTATATACTCTATTTTATTTTTTATTTCCACGGTGATCATTTTCCTGAGTGCCAATTTTAGGTTATTTTTAAGTGCCAGATATACTCCTTCAAGTAACTTAGGAGATAAGAAAAATGATTTGTGTGTTGGATTGCTTTATGTTTACTAGGCTCTTTACAGTTGTCCTTTTTACGTTATACTCATTTGATCTGTGTAGCATGCCTAGAGGACATCTCTACCCAGGGTGCTTAGACACTAGCTGAGAGTGTCTTAGTGTTCAGAAGCTGAGACTAGAAGATAAAAAATGATGTTTTAAGTTAGAAACCAGGGTCTTTATATAGATTTCTTGCCAGACTATGTGCCGCACAGCATAGTTTTAGTTCACAAGCCTTAAAAGAGTGCCTTTCACCTGTGGCGTGGTATTATGGTGTTTTTGGATATTTGTTTATGTTATAGGGGTGATGGGAGAAATGTGTAAAGGTGGTGGTGGCGGTTCTGGTTCTTTCTTCTGATGGATTATGTGTAGAATGTGATTAGCATTCTTTAATTCCATGCAGTAGTATAGTGCACTTAAGATCATGAATTTTGGAGTCAGACCAGGTTAGAATTATGGCTCCATCACTTGTGAATCGTTTAATCCTAGTGTAATGACCCGCCCACAGTAGGAAGAATAGTTTGATGAAAGGTGTAAGACTGGGAGAGTAGAGGGGCCTCCTCAGGGATTTCAGGTAGTTGGGTTGGTGTATTGGGCACATATAGATTAGTATGGGAGGGTAGTATCTCATAGATTATCTGTATTTTCTATTTTAATCTTTACAACAACCTAATGAAGCAGGCACTCTTGTTACTTTCATTTTATAGGTAAGGGAATTGTGGCTGAAATACTTTCATTAGTATATTCAAAGTCATACAGCTAGCAACTAGAAGAACTTGAACTCAGGGCTGTCGTCCGTCTGAGTCTGTGTAGTTACATGCTGTTCTGAGTTGGGAAGGGCTTTGAATGATAGGCTGAAGAGTTTATCCTTAATTTTCAAAGCAACATGGAGTCATTTATAGTTTTGAGGAGCAGGGTGTCATTGGGTTGTGTTTTAGGAAGATTAATATGATAGCTGGGTGTAGGATAGATTGGAAGGAGAAGAGACTAGAGTTGAGGGTGCCAGTTCTTTTGGTTGCAAGCAAAAAAAGCAGCTCTGAGTATCTTAGGCAAAAGGGAAATTTATTGATTGAGGAATGGAGATGGAATAGTTAAAAATGGTTTGAGTTCAAAGAGCATAGACGTGCAATTTTTCTCTCTTAAACCTTTTGCAGTTACTCACATATCCCCTTTGCCTGACTGTCACTCTCTACCCCCTAATGTGCAGAGTTCTCTTTCTTAGACAGAGGGACTAGTACGTGTGGGCAAAGGAATATGGTCATAGGTTGTAGTCTATTCTATACTTTTTGCCATGTACAAAAGTTAGAATTATTGATTTACCCTTTAGATAGATGAACTAAAAACTCAGGACAGTTTTCATTAGAATTTTCAAGTTACTATTAAACAATTCAAATAAGAAGATGTCTGATGACAGAAGAGTTAGAAAAAACATTTGGTTTCGATACCACTCCTAATCATGTGCCATACATTTCCCTGTTAACTTTGTTGGAATTTAAAAAAGAAAGCATATATAAAAGTAGAAATTTTTTTAAAATTAAATACATGATATCAACAAATTAACAGGAACAAATAAATAGGGGACCACTGACTCTGTCTGAAACACACAGGTTTCTTTGTTTCTTGGTGCAAAGGTGCATGTACTTTTCCTTTTACCCAGAGCCATGATCCTTGGGTTTTGATGACCCTTCTCTCCACAACATGGGTAAGGCTGTGTATTGAAAGGGTGTGACCTTCCGTAGAGCAGGGGCCCTGTGACAGAGTGGGAGTTGCTTTATAAGAAACCAAGAGCCTATATTTATATAAGTAACCTAAGTAATTGAAAAAAATAGTCCAATCCCAGAAATAAAATACATTTAAATGTAGAAAAATATTTAGCTTACCAATTGAATGTTTCTAAAAAGAAGAGTTTTGGCTTCTTCCATGGGGCACTTGTGTGTCTCCAGTATACATTTTTGAGAACATTTTGTTTTGAGAATTTCCTGTGGGCATTTCTCTCTGTGGTTCTCCAGGCTCCTGAATAAATGTGTTCCTGTTGTTATGTTTACAAATCATGATTGTACTCTAGTCAACATGGTTTATCTTTAGAGAATAACTAGTTCGTTACATTTGCTGTATCCTTTCCTCTAGGCTGGATAATCACTAAGGTAACCAGATAGCAGAATGTGTACTTTAAAATATAATTAGATTTTAATTGGCTCTGTACTGTATGTGTTTGTGTGTCTGCTGCCTCTTGTCCCCATTCATCACAAGGGGCAGAAGTTTGGTTTAGGGAACAGTATGTGGAGGCTTGACCAGGAGGGTGCGTGTAGTTAACATGTGCGGAGGACTGATTTAGCTGGTAGAAAGGAGGCTCCCTGTGCTCACCAGGTGCCCTCCTGTTCCCCAGGGTTCCGCTACGGGAGCGACATCATCCCTTTCTCCAGAGTGGACCAGGAGCAGATGGAGTACAAGTCAGAGGGGAAGTGCTTCTCCGTCCTGGGGTTTTGTAGAGCTTCTCAGGTACAGCGCTGTAATTGTGAACAAAATAAGGAACTTTCTCTTGTTATTGTCTGAGATGGTGCGATTTTGATTGGTCCTTTTATTTATAATATGTTTATTTCACTTAGTTTTTCTAAAATGTAGTCTGGGAGTTAGTGTCACTGTCCTTTTTTTTTTTTTTTGAAGAGAAAGAGCAAGATGTAGAAAAGTCAGAAGAACAAATTCAATTAAAAGTCACCTTTCAGCTTTGTCAGTCATAGCTCATAGGAACCTTAAACAAACAGTATCTAGTTCTTTGTTGTTGTATTGCTTTTTCAAAACTGTTATGTATAACAGAATCTTTTACAGGTTTGGAGGTCCAGCTGGGTTGAATGACCACAGACCTCTTAGAGTATCATTGATTTATGCCATTCACCACTCATTTCAGTGCCCAGCAGAGAGGTTTAAGACGTGAAACTTGTTCATATGTCATATGTTTTTTAGATACCAATGCAGAGATACACAAAATAGACACAGTGGGAAATGCAGTAATTCACTGAAGGCCATGGGAGATACCATATACTGTCCTAGAGAGGGTTATTAAGGATTCCCGGAGATCTTAGATGAAGTTATTTGTGAGGTGGGGCAACCAAAGAGAATCAGTAAGTATAAAATGTATCTTCAGGCTCTGTAGGGATGAAAAGATTTTTGTTGATTCTAAATGCACTCAATTGAGGATTATAATAAAAATAAATATTACCCAATATACTGGGTTTGCACTTCTTCATGTTGCTTAAGCAGATAGTCCCTGTGTAACTCAGTGTTAGACTAGTCCAGTGAGGTTGGGGAGAATGTTTTTAATTATATGCTCAAGCTGTTAGATACATATTTAAGACTCATAAGCTGAAAATTGGTAGGATTTACTTAAAGTCAATGAGATTTTAATGGTGAGAATAAATACTTTTTGGAAGTTGAGAGTCTCTAACAATTTTCTAACAAATTACACTAAATATGCCTGTTTCAAAATTAAATTACTCACTTTGACAGGTATGTAAACTTAAAATTTATGGTTATTAATGGCAGTGCTTCTGAGTCTTTGCAGTGAAACAGAACCTTTAATCAGACCTGTTTATAGAAGCTGGCCTGTTGGGAAGGGGGTCTTCCTAATTCCAAGACAGGCAGAAAAGACCTATTCAGACACCTGCAGGTGTAATTCAGAACTCAGAAAATTGAAATCACCTGTGCCTGGCTGGGAGTGGGGCCTATAGAGTTGAATGGCAAAGCAAGAAGGAGTGAGCTGAACAAAAAGTACGTTTTCCATGTTTTAAATTTTTTTAATGAGTTTATTGGGGTGACATTGATTAATAAAATTATATAGGTTTCAGGTGTACAGATCTATAATGCATCATCTGTATATTGTAGTGTGTGTTCACCACCCCAAGTCAAGTCCCTTCCATCACCATTTACCCTCTTCTACCTCCTTCCTCCACCCCCCCTTTCCCGCCGGGAATCACTATACTGTTGTCTGTGTCTTTAATTTTTTTTTTAGGTTTTTGTGTGTGTGTGTTTGCTTAATTCCTTCACCTTTTAAAAAGATTTTTATTAACTTGAAATTAACTTTTAAGTCATGAATTATTTTTCTAAATCAACGTTTTGTTTTTAAGCTCTAAATTATTTTTATTTTAAGTACAATCTCAGACAGGTACAATGAAAATAATCATAATAGCTACCATTTATTGAGTGATTATAATATTCCAGTCAATATACTGAGCATTTTATATAAATTCCCATTTAATTCTTTTATGACACTCTTAGGTAGGTACCATGATACCTATTTTATACATTAGGAAATTAAGCTTCAGAGCTGTTAAATAACTAGTCCAAGGCTACCTAGCTAGAAGGTGGTAGGGGTGGGTTTTGAACCAGGTCTCACTGACTTCAAAGCCTATGCCATTGATCAGTTGTGATCTGCCCACCAGATGAACAGCCTCATTTTTGAACAGTCTAATTTTTACATACCCACTTTCATGTATTGTCTTAACAAATGCATACACATCATGTTAAGAGCAAGGTGTTTTCCATATCAACTAAGATAAAGTAATAAGCATGCACCTTGTAGCAGATGAGTAATTATCTTTAATAAAATCACATAGTTTTTCAAACTCCCTTAAAGTGAGGGAAACTAACATTTCTGGATTGAATTGATGTGAAACTTCTCATTTTATAAAATGGTATTTGGGGTTTGGGGTATTTTTTTCTGTTTTTGAAATGTGAATTACTTTTTAAAATTTCAAGAGTCCTTTCAATTTGTCTTTCTCTAAGTTCTCAGTGTTCTGGTATCTAATTATAGGATGGGTAAGAATTTAGCCAGAACTTCCCCCAAATGCCTGGCTATCTTTTGAAAAGCCATTTAGGTGCCTTAAGAAGAGCTATCATTAAGTCTTCTTTAATCAATCAAGAACTATTACAAATTCTGATAGGAGGGCAAACCTATATAAATGTTACAAACTAAAAATATAGGATTATTCTCATATTTCTTTAAATAATGGTTCTCAGGTGGGGAATGGAAATGGAGATGGAGGGTATTTGAATTACATGGGCCTCAACCCACACTTTTGAGACTTAGTCTTAGCTACTGTTTCTATGAAAGTGCTCATAATTTCTCGGCTTTAGAGATGGGAGGACAAAAAAACCCAAAAACATTGTAGAAGCATTGCCACGTACAGTATATGCATGTTCTTATAAATGAGCCTCAGGCTCAAGATCACACAGATCAGAGAGAAGTTGATCTTGTTCAGTAGGTGCAGGTGGTTATGATTTTGGGATCTCTTCAATGTTCATTTTCTGACCTTTGACATCTTTGATACTGTGATAGATGAGTAACTTAAAGGGGGAAAAAGGACACATGGTATTCATTTTTGCTTTAGTTACCCTTCCTCTAGTCCTGCCCTACTATTTAGTTCTTTGTTCTGGTCTCTTTGCAGTTCACCATTGCTCTTAGGATGAAGTCCAAACCACTTAATTTTGCTGATAAGAGACTTTGTGACTGATAGTTGCTAATGTTGATAATCTAATTTCCCCTTTCCCCTTGCACTGTGGCACTGTACTACTCCAGAAGCAGTTCCCAAATGTACTTGTGTTTTTTATGTCACTGTAGACTTACACTATTATCTCTGCTCAGGACACTTGCGCCCAGACTTTTTATCTTAGTTCCTACACATCCTTTAAATCTTAACTTAGGTGTCACCATTTGCAGAAGCTTTCCTTGACCCCTCGTGATCAAAGTAGATGCCCTTCTCATGTGCTCTTGTAACACCAAACTATAGTTCAGTATGATAAGATTGTACTCTTGAGTTCTTGTAGTGCTGTATGTGTGTTAGAACTGCACTGGAGTTCATTTAGTATTTATCTAAGCTCCTCAGGACAATCTGTATGCTGTTCAGAACAATGTTTGATGCTCATTAGGTGCTCAGATATTTAGTGTTGAATTGAACCTCAAGTAATATGTTTCTAGTACCTGTGAATGTTTTTCAGAACATGTAAGAACATTTTGAATAGGATTTCTTAGTAACATGTGCATTATGGTTTTATGTGTTACTTATTTTGGATCAAAGTCAATTCTTTCCTCTTGTAGGTCCATAGGAAATATTTTATGGGAACTCAAGTTCTAAAAGTCTTTGCAGCAAAAGATGATGAGGTGAGTTGACAGTGGGTCTTTGAGGTAGTGCCACAGAATTGAATTGTCATTTTAAGTGAGCTGTTTGGGACGTTTATAGTTTAAAGTGACATTAATTATTGCAACAGCAGTGGGGAAATTCATTGTCCTTTAACTCTGAAAATGAAGAAATGATTAATGAATTTGTCATGGCATGAGCACAAGGCCTAAGGACAAAGTCCTGCAATCGGACAGCAGGTAAGTGTTAAAAACAAAAACATTTGAACACATGCCTTTAGTGTGGGGATCTCATGGTTTGGGAAAATTGGGGTCAGGTTGACATTTTCATTGTCATGGGCATTGACCATTTAGTGCTCGCTCTAGCATCCTGGAGATGAGCTTCAATGACTCACTAGATTACTTCTGTCACTGAGAAGTTTGTCTTTTCCAATCCCTCCCTCTCTGCACTCTTTTCCTACCTTCCTGAGAGATTCTGTTTTCAGGCTGGTTTCTGCCTGGCTAACCACCCGTGACTCTTGCATCCTACACTCACACTCTCTGTAAATATTTTCTGTGTAGCCTCTAAGTCACAGAACTTACTTCCTTGGAGATGTTTATCTAAACTGGAAGATTAGAATCTAATGTCTTTTTGAGACTACCAGAGCTGGCCTCCAATCCTGGAAGTATTTGCGTTTAAAATTACTAAACTGCACGTGGAAGGCTTGTTTGGGGTGAGGGCGCGGCGATGGTATCGGGGGATCTAGTCCTCTTAACCCTCTTTTTATCGGCACTTCTGAAGGGTGGCTGGCTACAGATCTGTGAATGGATGTGCCAGTGTTCTATCAGAACAGTTACAGTTAGGAGAAGGAAACACTTGGCTACCACTCTGTACCACTCAAACTCATTAGAGCGCACCAGGCGTGTGTGAATCCTCCATTTGAAAATCCTAGTTCACGGGCTTCTCCTGAATCAGATCCTGTTGGTAATCATGCAGTTCCGGTACATAGTCAACGCATCTGAACTGCACTTCTAACTTCTGTTCAAGTTTTAACTCCTCACTTTCCCTTTAGGCAAGGAAAATTCTGATCACTTCATGTGATTGCTGTGTATACAGTGAAGAATATCAAATCACAAAACTGTCGTTACCTCAGCTTGCTAGGGCAGCCTCATGGCTGGCCCAGTTCACATCCAGCCTCATACAGGCTCTGTAGATCACCAGGTCACTTTGAGTTCACTCGAGAAAAAAAAATTATCTACCAATGGGAAAGGGCTACGTTTTGGTGTCAGTTCTTGATGTCATAGTTAAAGAATAATATTAACTAATGGGAGCTTAGAGAAGCAGAGGAGTAAGAAAACTATGTCATATGAGTACTTCCAGTAAAAGATTGCATGGGGAAGACTTGTGTAGGAAGGTAGGGGAGTAGGAGGGATGACAGACATAATGCCTTCTTCATACATCTAGAGAATTATTATATGAAATAGAAATTAAACTATGCTTCCTCCCAGAGGGTAAATTGGAACCAACAGTTGGTGGTTTTGTTCAAGATGAATTATTTTGTCAATAAGGGTTACTATGTGCAAATGGATTGGTTTCTTGTGAGGTGGTCAGATCTGCACTCCCACTAGTTCCCCGGCAAAGTCTTTACTACCACCACTCAGATTTGGGGAGGAAATTCCTTCATGATGTGGGTTGTTAAACTAGATGAGTACTGTTGTTTTTCAACTCAAATACTCTATGAGTATTTGAAAATTCTGTGAAAAATTCCTTTTAAAAAATGTTTTCTCTGGTGATTAGCATATAATTATTTTATCGTATGGAGTATCTACACTTTTTTGTGCTGATTTGCACTGTGTGTGGAAGAAAAGAGGAGGAGAGAAAGGAAAGGAAATGGGGTTCCGATTAGGTTTCCCACAGGTGTAGTATTGTGTTACAATGTAGCAGTCATTCAATACCCCATTCCTCCTTACTTTAAATATCCCAGTTGGTCCTGTCAAAGACATCCAAACAAAAGCTTGCAAACAAATTGCAAGTAGTCTCTTCCTCAGACCCCTATTGTGCTTCTCTGGCCTCTCTTATGGGACATTATTTGGTACATATCTCACGTCTGCTAGTAAAGAGTGTAGTAAGTAGCTCAGTGAGATCAGGGACTTATCTTTGTTTTCTTACAGGCCCTAAGACAGTGCCTAGCAAAGAGTAGGCACTAAGTAAATACTCCTTGAATTGAACTGAAAGGGTAATGCATCTATAATGAAATCTGTAGAGGATTTTGAAGATGGTATCGAGGTCATAGGTTTTTAGAGGAGGACATGGGAATATGCAGAGATAACTTCCATAGGGTTAGCCATAATACTGAGAAAAGTACAGACAAGGTGTTTAGGGAGTTATTGAGAGGGAGAGAGCTGGCTGAAGCAAATCTGAAATGGAGAGGGTATCAGTTTACTGAGCCTTGAAAATGGATCGAAAGCTAGAGAGCCAGAGGTTTGGAGAGGGCATTCTAACTAAAAAGAAATTGTATGAATTAAAAAGTTGGAGGGGAAGTACAAGACCTTCAGGAATAATGGTCAGCTCACTGTGGCTGGAACAGAGGAATTGTTGGAGGTTTTTATGGGAGTGACATGACCATGAGTGACTTCAGAGGATAATTTCAGTAAGACACTGAGGTCAGTAGCTGGATTAGATTGAGGAATAATTGTGTTCTAAGCAGTGACAACAGCAAGATGATTTTGTGGAATTTAGAGGTAAAAGGGAAGAAAGATACAGATAGTAATTTATGGAGAGAGGGGACAAAGAAAGATTTTGTTTAGGAAGGCTGACTGGAGTTTATTAAGAGGGCGAGGGTATGGCCCGGCCGGGCGTGGCTCAGCGGTTGAGCATCGACCTAGGATCCAGGCGATCAGGGTTCGATTCCCGGTCAGGGCACATGCCCGGGTTGCGGGCTCGATCCCCAGTCGGGGGTGTGCAGGAGGCAGCCGATCAGTGACTCTTTCATCATTGATGTTTCTAGCTCTCTCTCCCTCTCCTTTCCTCTCTCTGAAATCAATAAAGACATATAAAAAAATTAAAAAATAAACAAATAAAAATAAAAGAAAAAAGAGGGCGAGGGTATGAATTCAGAGGGTAAGGAAGACTGAAGGGATAAGAGGAACAGGATAACGAAGCAGATTTCCAGAAGAGGTGTAGTAAACGTTATCAAATGCCAATGGCTACAGTGTCTCCTTGAAGTAGGTTGAGGAGCCCTTTTTAGAAAATGTGGAACAGGAAGAAAGTAGAACACAGTGTTAGGGGTATGAGGCTCTGTTGTGAAAAGTCTCCTGTGTTGCATATGTGTTAATGCTGCGTCTTTCTTACTAGGCAGCAGCGGTGGCCCTTTCCTCACTGATTCATGCTTTGGATGAATTAGCCATGGTGGCCATAGTTCGCTACATTTATGACAAAAGAGCTAACCCCCAAGTTGGCGTGGCTTTTCCTCACATCAAGGACACCTATGAGGTATAACCCAGAGGGCTTTTTATTCATGTTTTTTCCCTTCAGTTTCTTTATTTTAAACAGTGCTTCTCAATGATTAATGTGCGTGGGAATTGCTTGGGGGGCTTGTTAAAGTGAAGATTCTGATTCTGGAAGTGTCAGAGGGGCCTGGGATTCTGCATTTCTCACAAACGCCCAAGTAATGTCGCTGTTGCTGGCCTGTGAACTACACTTTCATTTGCAATGAAAGAACAGAAATTAATATAAACATGTAAAGGACCATCTTATCAATTAGGAAAGGTTAAGCATGAGCCTCTGTTTGCCCAGCCCAGTGGCCTCCTGGTTCGCATCCTTTTTGATGTCTCAGAACCTAATGGGAAGAGATTACTTCTGTTTTTTACAACAGCCCTTACTATGGATCACTACCCATTTACTATGGTTAAAGGTTGAGGCTGTGATTTTGTTGTGATCCTTGTGTATTTCAGTTTTTTTAGGGCTCTCCTATTTAAAATGTAAGTCTTTATTCTTACCATTTCCTGTTTCTCAAAGAACTTACTGGGCAGAACTGAAAAAGAGCAAATAACTTGGCTTGCCCATCTGCCTTCCCGTCACCCTCTCTTCTCATTTGTTGTGTTGGTCATGCATTTTGCAGGTAGTCTTTGATAGTCTTTCTTTGAAGCATGTCTTTCATGTTTAATATTCTCTGTACTCTTTGCAGCTGTGTACAGGTAATAACGGAAATCAAAACACTTTACTTGCCATGTACCAGCATTGGGTCGTCTGATTTTCGAAGTCCTTTTGGTTTTTGTGCCACTTTCACAGTGTTAGGACCAGTTTTATATTTTTTTCATTAATTCAGTTGTTTTTGCTTTTACCTCCTTTCTTTCTCATCAGTGTTTAGTGTATGTGCAGCTGCCTTTCATGGAAGACTTGAGGCAATACCTGTTTTCATCCTTGAAAAATAATAAGAAATGCACTCCCACGGGTGAGTGTATCTCCATTTTGCTCACTAATTGGCTCTGAATGCAAACTGTTCTTGGGAAATCACCTGTCTGCAACCATTGGCTGGGGCCAAGGTTCCACAGGGTGGAATTAGTCCGATCCAAGTCACATCATACACAGTAATGATGAAGGTGGTTCATCATGTGTTTTTCCAGTAGCAGGGATAAGTTTGCCCCAAACTGTCGGAGCACTCTCAAGGTTCCTGCTTCTGACTTAGGGCTTGTATCTAGGAAGCAGCTTGCTAGAAATGGATGTACGTTCTCTAGTTGTGAGCACAAGGTTTGCCCTCTGCTGGAGTTGACATGTAGTATTAAACCTGAGACTTTAGTGCCCTACATAAAATATATTGAAATGTGATAGTGCTGGCGATTACCTTTTCTCTTTGCCCTTTCTTTGAAGTTCACAGTAACAGTCTAAGTTGCAGTGTTCCTCATTTCCAGGAGTTTAAGCTTGATGAGGAAAGGTCTTTATTAAGCATCTGCTGCAAATGTCAGGATGCACACAGAATGATCTCACAGGCGCAGATCCCGTCTTCCAGAGAGCTCACAGTTTAGGACAGTTGTAATAAAATATAATGGTGGGCCCAGTGTAGAGAACATACCACAAAGGACACAAAACGATGAGTAGATGTTTTAGTTCACAAGTTTGCACCTGTGTCAGTGTAGGATTAGGGAATTTTGAGGTGAGTCTCAAAGCTGGGTTCTCTCTGTATGTTTCTTTGGTTAGATGGTTGGGAGAAGTGTGCTATAGAAAAGCCAAGAAACAAATGGGCTTCTGGGGCTTGTGTCTTTACCAGCTAGAAATGAGTGCCTCTGCATCATGGTGGAGCTAGACATGGACTGTAATGTGCAGAAGCTGCCTGTGTAGTCTATCCCTACCTCTTAATAATTTTAAACTGTAAATGAGCAGAATGTTGAGAAATTATGGACAATGCACCATTCACTCAGGACCTAAAACATTAAATATCTGTCTGTTGATTTACTTTCTGTGAGTTGACATATTTTTGTTTGCGTTTTCTCCATTGGAAAAATGTATTATTAAAACTGTTTGGCACATTTCCCAAGTTGACATTCATGTAGGGGTGTGCAGTGCTCGAGTGATCCAGCCTGATACTAGCTTGTAATGGCAAATGAAAATCACTGAATGTTCACATACAGGTACCACCTACTCTGTTGCCAGGTGGATCCTGTAGTAGTCAGCTTAAATGGTGATGGCTGTGCCAGTGCCTGAAGCCTCCCCGAGAAAACCCAAAAATGGGATAGAAAGGTTGTGTGATAAATATCTGCATGCTCTTCCATTCTGTAGGAGCTATTGAAAAGGGAAATTTGTGAAGGTGGCAAATAGAAGCATAATGGACGTTTTAGGAACCACTTATACTTTTCTACCTTTTGCCTAGTGACTGTGGATGAGCCAAAAGTAGCACCTCAGCGTTTAAGAGCTGAACTGTGTGTATGAATCAGCAGAATGAGAGTGACACATAGTGGTTTAAGTAGAAACATTTCTGGGAGAGTTGCCTTTCATCTACATTGCTTTGGGCCTTGTCATTTTTGTTGACCAGGTAGATTTTTATTGAGGAGCACTTGCTTTCTGTTAGGTATTAGGAGAGACGTAAAGAAAAGGAAGTCATGCTTTTGCTCTTAGGGATCTTTAGTGTTTGAGTAAGATATGTTCACAGGTGTGCATATGTGCAGAAGTGTGCTTAGTGCCATGAGGTTTGTGAGAGGAAAGGGTTCATTCTGCCTTCAGGGCTGGGGGGTGAAGGAATCTGCTCACTCTGGTCCAGTGGTCTTCCTGTTAAGTTATGTTCTGATACAAGTTATATTAAACCCTTATAAAGTTAATGCTTCATTACCAAAGGGGGTTTCTTTTTCTTTTTTAAATGTTTTTTCCTTTAACTAATTACTAGTATCTTTTTAATATTATTTCATTGAACTCTGAATATTTTGAATATGCCCAGTTGGGTTTTGTGTGGCTGTGGTGCACTCTCTGGAACAAACTCTTCCCTTTGACATGATACTCCACTGTCCAAAGCTCACTGAATGGAGCTGGAAAGGACTGAGGAGACCAGCTACTCTAAGTAACTCCTTTTTACAAGTAAGGAAACCCTGGCTGAGATAAGTGATTTGCATACCTAGAGACTATTTTTGGCAGAGCTGTGGCTGTTATTGTATAAATAGCATTGAGAGGAAAGCCTTTGTTTTAGGGGAAAACAGTGGAAGTAGTCACTTTTGCTTTCCGCTATTTTGTTTATCCTGGTCTTAGAGGCACAGCTGAGTGCTGTTGATGCTCTGATCGACTCCATGAGCTTGGTGAAGAAAAATGAAGAGGAGGACACCATTGAAGACTTATTTCCAACCACCAAAATCCCAAATCCTCAATTTCAGAGATTATTTCAGGTGAGAAAGGCAAGATGAACCAATCATGTTTTTTTAAATGAAAGTACCAAGTGAAAAATTAGGGTAATTGACTGGTCACAAACAAATGGTTTTGTCCTCTGAGGGTCTCAGTTGCTCTGTCTGTTTAATGGCAGAATGTCCCCTTCTTTCCATTAAAAGAGAAAAACACTCTGAGCTTTCAGAAAGAAAGAAGCCAAGTTGGATGCTATTTAATTTCTTTTCTGGAAAAAGGCTGTTGTTTTTTCAGGAGGGCTCAGTAAAAAGCAGATTCTCCCTTTATGCTTTTTCCAGGCTTTTCTACTCCTTCTGTACCTGGTAGTAGAGTTTTATGAACTGTATAATCATCACTACTGGGGAGGAAGTGTTCCAGTGCACATTTGTCAGAAATGTCATAATTAAAGGTAACAGAGAGGTGAGGTAGAGGTTATAGTATGAAATTATTAAAGAGTAACTAAAATACAGGAAAATATAAAATAGGCATTTCTGAGTCTTCGGCCAAAGGAATTGGAAGGTGGAGATTGGATTAAGGGGAACTGGGGAGGTTGACAAGAGAGCTGACTTATGCTGAGGAAGGGGAGGAACAAGCCAGGGCTGAAGAGGAAGGAATATTCCAGTCCTGGATTAACTTGGTGACAGCAGGACGGGACACAGGCTTCTCTGAACCCCCCAAACTGAAAAAAAATCATAAGCAGCTTTATCAGGTAAACTTTTCCCCCAGAGCAGTGGAGGGCCTATTTTTGAGGGATAGAGGGCTGTGATGGAGAGACCATTGACTGCTCCTCTTGAGCCACTTCTCAAAGTATCCTTAACTAGCTCAGGTCCACATTTAGTGCCGTTGTGATTTTGAGGGATCTTCTACGCAAGAGAAAATGTGTTGTTTTGCTGCTTATAATTCCTTTAAGTAGTGGAGGAAGGGGGATAACTTTTGTTTTAAAATTAGAAATATGAAGCTTAACATGTAAAGGCCCAACTCAGTGAATGCTTTAGTATTTTGAGTGTAATCAAGTATAAATAGTTGTGTAAAAGTCAGCAGTGTTGGGTGTTTGATTACTGCTTACATCTTTAAGGGCTTTCTGCGCTGTTTTAGGTATGCTAATGACCTGAGGGAGGGCACTGAATTAAGAATTATGCACAAGAAGGTTGGGGGTAGATTCACAGGGTTTGGGATCATTTCAGTTTCCCCTTTTGCTTCACATTAAATAGGCCTGATGTTATGGATGCTCAAGGGAAAGTCAAGTAATTAGGAAAGAGGAAAATACAAGTCAATGAAACAAATGAATATGCTATGGAGAAGGAAGACTTGTGGTTGGTATCTGAAACAAGGGAGCAGCACTTGAAATTTGTAGAGGAAATTGGTACTTAATTCCTACCTCAAAGTTTTCTGAATTTGTAGGGTGTTGAATCTTGGAGGATATTTACTGTTTAAGCCAATGTATTTTTTATTTCTTAGAGTGGAGACTTCCAGCTTCCATTTCTGCAGGGTAGGAAAATAGTTCATGAGGTGGTAGAAATCATATACCTATGGTAGGAAACAGTATTTTGAAATTGCAAGAGCTTATCACCTCTCTGGTTTTTCTTCAGAATTACTAATGTACATGTTGTTTAAAGATGGGAATGGTAGGAATGCCAATCTAACCTTGGAACTGATTCTATAGCAATTCAAGGAGAATGTCAGTGAATTGAGAGTTTAATTTTATCTTTTTCATTCTTAATGGTATCCTCTCCCTTTGCTTGCGTTTTTGTACTCCTTTCAGAGTGTTTGCTTTTCTGTGTAGATGTCAGTACTGCCAAGGCCTAGCTTAGTAGACTCAAAGCAGTGAGATGATTGAATGGAAGTGGCTTGCTGTCCAGATTTCCACTCGTGTGAGCAGTGGGGAAACTTCCATGGCCTCGATCTTGGCTCCACTCTTGTCATTCCATCAATCAGTATCAGTTAGGTGTTTGTTATTTACGAGGCACTATTTTCGATATTTGGAATTTAGCCATAAACAAGACAAACAAGATGTCTAATTTCAAGGGGGAAGGTTGAGTAATAAACAAGTAAACTAAAAAATTGATAAAATAATTCTAGTTAGTGGTAATTCTGTAAGAAATATAAAACAAGGTTGAGAGAGCATGACTGCAGGTAGGATGGGGTGAGAGACTCCTTTGTATAGTGTCAGGGAAGCCTCTCTGAGGAGGTAATAGCTGAGTGAGGAACAGAGTGATAAAAGGGCCAGCTCTGTTGAGGTCTAGGGGAAGGCAGAAGAGGCAGAGGGAGCTTTGAGCACAGGCCGCACAATCTGGAATGGGCTTGGCATAAGAGTGGAACAGGAACAGCCTAGACCACCAGGGTTGCTGTGAGTGAGGAGGGTGGCAGGTGATGTGACAAGGGAGGTGTGCAGGGACTGTGTTACGTGCAACCTTAGGATGGTAGGGAGCTTGTTTTAAAATGACTTTAGTTAGTTAGAACAGTGAAAGTGGATGCAGGTAGACCAGTTAGAAGGTGACTGTGATAGCCCAAATGACGGGTGATGGGGCCTGAACAAGAGTGGTAGTAGTGGAGGTGGCTGGAACAATACACTGGTGGAGAACAATCCAGACTCAGCACCCGAGCGAGCTTTGAACAGACCAGTATTCTCATCTCTTCCACATGTTTCCTCCTGGGACTCACTGAGCATGGGCAGGTTCCCTTTAGCCACCTGTTTCATCTCCACACATTGTTTTCTAAGAAAGATTAAGCAAGGGAGAAAACACAGTGTTGAAGGGAGGGGGAGGTAAAAGGATTATAACCAAAAAATTATCATCTCACACTGTCAGAGGTTCTTGTGTTTTAGGAGACCTCATATGTTCTACAAGTAGTTAAAGTGCCAGCCTCTTTTTATAAGATGAGGCTCTTCCAGGTGGACCTCAGCTGACAGTGCTATGAGGCTTGGATCTGTTTCCCAGCTGGTGTTAGATAGCATCCATGTCCTGCTAACCAAGGTGGTCCTGGGCCCACTGTCTTTGTTCCCTTATATAGGGTGGGAATGACATAGTACTCCCAAGCTGAAGATGGAGGACCCCTGATCAGAAAGTATAATGAAGCCGTATTTGGTGTCTGCACCTGTGTTTTAAAATGCTTATACTTTTTCCGCAGTGTCTGCTGCACAGAGCTCTCCATCCCCAGCAGCCTCTGCCCCCAATTCAGCAGCATGTTTTGAATATGCTGGATCCCCCCACTGAGGTGACAGCTAAATGTGAGATTCCTCTCTCTAAAATAAAGACCCTGTTCCCTCTAACTGAAGCCATCAAGAAAAAGGGTCAACTGACTGCTCAGGACATTTTCCAAGACAAGTGAGTACTTGATGTGGTTGCACTTCACATTGGACGACATGAGATTGCTGGTAGTCATAGACTGGGGCTCTGGAACTAACAGCTGAATGTGGGTTTGTGGAATCACAATGGTGGGAGGAAGAAACTTTGATATTTGACCCTTGCAAGTACTGGTTTCTCCTGTCTGTCCATTGTAGGGCTCTTTTATTCTTGCTCTTCACCTGGAATGGAGAGCTACCTTCTGGGCTGTTGACTTTTTGATCAGCATCAAATTCTTGGTAAATTATATATATTTATATATATATGAAGGCTAAACAGTTTTGAATATTTAAAACTAAGCTTTACCATTTTTTAAAGTAGGGTGCTGGGGGTGAGAGGGGCGAAGGTCATAAGGTTTTTCGGTTGGGAGGTTAGGTGTCAGGAGAATGTCAGTGAGATTTTTGGAGGAAAAGTGGAAAGGAGAGTGAAAAACCTGGCCCCGCATCAGTGATGTACTTGGTTATAGCATCAGTGAGATGTTTGTACTTTAAGGGTAGCAAAATGCCTTTCGTACAAATTCTCAAATCAAATCAAGCTTCTAGGTAGCTATTAGGTTTTTTCCTTTCATCAAATTCTTTTCAGAATCTGTATCAATTTCCATTCAAAACAAAACACAAACAAACCATAAGAAATTGTTTTTGATTATTCAGAATAATTTGGGTGTATAACATTGATTTTACCAGTTTTAGGTTTGGTTATTAGTGACTTTTCCACCCAGATAAAAATGATCTATTCATTTCTTTAGATTGTATTCTGAGATCTAGGTTTAGGCCATAATTTTTTTTCATGCTGTGAGCATCCTTAAAATCATTATTTCTAATTCTATATCTGATAGATTGCTTATCTCCATTTCATTTTAGCTCTTTTTCTGGAGACTTCTCTTGTTCTTTCACTTGGGACTTGTTTTTTTGTCTCCCCATTTTGGCTGCCTATTTGGGTTTGTTTCTATGTTTTAGGTGGGCCTTCTAGGACTCTCAGTCTTTTTCGGGTGTCTGGTGCAGGCCAATGCCAGATGCTGTTTGTGATTGGCCTTGAGTACTCTTTGGAGCTATCAACAACCCATGGCTTGAGGTCCCTTCTGTTGGGGCTGGGTGCCTTTGGACAGGACCAAGGTGCATACCAAAATCTGCTTTTCCAAGGCCCAGGTCCAGAAGCAGATCAGGCAGAGACTCAAAGCACTCTGAGTGTTCAGCCTTTGCCTGCATGCTGATTAATCTGATTCTCTTAATGAGCCTCAGGCTATAGAAGCTCCTTAGGGTAGGGTGAGAGGTTTTCCAGCAGGGTGGGGCAATTGTTTTCCCCTCAGGCAAAAGCTGCTTGGAAGGTAAATGTCTGCCAGCATAAGATGTCCTCTGCAGTATGGGGGAATGACTAAGTACAGGAATCCAGTGGGGTGCCCTCTGAGCTCTATCTCCAGAGCTCACAACCCTAGATTCTCCTCACACAGTTCTAGTCCACTCTATCCTCTCTCTGCCAGATCCCAAGATGAGTGGCTGCACACAAAACTCTGTGTATTGACTCTTCATGACAGGCTTTTTTTTTTTTTAAAGGAACTGATTTGAGAGAGAGAGGTAGATTTGTTGTTCCACTTATTTATGCATTCATTGGTTGATTCTTTTATGTGCCCTGACTGGGGATCGAACCTGAAACCTTGAGTTATTGGGAGGATGCTCTAACCAGCTGAGCTACCCAGTCAGGGCTGTGCATTGACTCTTTAAGATGGGGCCTGTATTTCCAGCCATCTCTTTCTGGCAGACAGAAACCCGGCTGCTTTTCACAGCCAGATGTTATGTGGGCACCTTTCTTAGTTCTGGTGCTCTTGTCTGGGAAGCCCAGCTTGGGGTTTAGGCCCCAGAGTCCTCAGTGGGAACCCCCACAGCTGAGATATCCCTCTGGACCTTCAGCTGCTGCCTGTGGGAGCCCAGCCAGCCCTCTTGCGCCTCCACACTTCCTACCAGTCTCTATGTGGTCTCCACTTTTCCTCCTTGGTTATGAGGGTGCTCTCCAGCTCATCTTCAGTTGCAGTTGATGTTGATTATTCAGGGTGGTTTTTCTATATTTTATTTGTAATTCCAGTTTAGTCCCGGGAGAGTGTCAGTGTAGCTTCCATTCAGTCCGCCACCATCTTTAATCTCTAGGCCACATTTTTCTGTGATTTCCTTCCCACAGCTGTATCTTTATTGACAAGTAAAACTTACAATTTGTAAATACCCCATTGGAAGAGTACTGAGCAATTTTCAGAAACCTTCACAGGATTCTGTAAATTGTTAGTTTAATAATTATCTTCCAAGATTAATAGAAAGCTTTATGCTTTCTGTGGGTTTGTAGAGGTTAGAATTGAAAAAAAAAAAATTATGAGATTGGTAGATTCTATCATGTGCATTCCTAATAGTGTGGAGAGTTTTTTGTTTCTCTTTAGTCATGCCTTCTTCTACATAGGAAGGCTGTCGCTGGAAGTCTGCTTTCCCTCTTCTAGCCTCATCTACCCATGTCCCTCTGGATTAGTATTTTAGAACAGTTTAATAAAACATTGAGCCCTTTTCTTCCTCTGGCAGCCTTGCTTTAGCCTCACCGCAGTCATCCAGCTATTCTCTGTGTTAAAACTGCAGTTCATTCTCCTGATTACCTTCTGCTGTTGTGGGCAAGGAAGGGATCATTTCCCCTTCTCACATTGATTAAAATGTAAATTATCTGATTTAAAAAACCACAGAGGCTTTTGTTCTGTGACTTGATCCTGGCTGTGAAGACACCTTCAGCTCTAATCCTACCACTCACTCTCTGGAAGCTTGAGTGCTGGCTGCTTGTTTTTGGCTCCTGTCATGGTCAGCAATGTAGCTGGGTAGTCTGCCTGGGACCAGAGAAAGAGTTCTCTCGCTCACACACACCCACTCACACTCCCGTTCTCTACCCTTTCTTCTTTGTTTTTAAGAACTTCAGAAACGATACACTTAACAAATATTTATCAAGTACTTCTTGTATTTAAGAAGAAGGATTCAGTCCCTTTTGCAAGGTTCTTAAAACCCTTAATTTTTATGCTAAGGCCCCCACCAGTTTTTAGAGGTGGTCTCCCTACAGAGAAAAAAATTGCTAACAACTAATTATACTCTTGCATATATTCAGCATCCCTGTATCCAGGGTACATATTTCCAGTGTAGGGATAAGGGACAAAGATTGGCGAGTGAGCAGATGCTGTTCAGGAAGTGTCAGAGACCAAGACAAAGAGCCCTGAGCTGGAATAACTAGTTTTCATTTCAGCTTTCAACTATCTGATATTGGTTAAATAATTATACCTTTATGAGAGTTTCTCCATCTAAAAAGAGCCTCATCACAAGAGATAGTGTAACAATGAAATCATAGATATTAAAGCACTTTGAACTATTTGGAGGGAAGGCAATAGTCAAAACCCAAAGCAATAATATCATTATTATTAAAAGCAATGAACATTTGAGAAGATCTACTATTCCCGCTGAACCTGTTGAAACCCTAGTGTTAGAAGTCATATCTTCATTTCAAAAGAGTAAGCACCACCTGACATTGTAGTCCAGAAATGTACTAAATATTACTCTTCTATACAAGCATTGCTTCCCTTAATGTTGCTTGAAATAGGTAGCTTGCATGAGAATTAGGACATCTGAGGTCTAATCCTACTTGTGCAACTGAATCATATGTGGTCTTGATTTCTTCTTGTCTCTATGCAGATGGTCTAAAGTTTTCTACTTTTTCAAGCCCCTGAGACTCCCTGCCACTTACTTACAGCAGTCAGCCTCACCTGGTTCCTGGTTAAGATGTCAGACTTCATAGTTGGTCCCCTTGCTCTGCAGTGTGATCTTAGGCACAAGTTGCTGTCCTCCCTAAGCTTCAATTTTCTCACGAGTCAATAGGGGTAATAGGAATATCTGTCTCAGAGTTGTCATGAGGGTTAATTGAACAATATATGCTAGTCACTGTTGTAGTTCTAGAACCCGCACAGTGCCTAACACATAATATGCATACAGTGTTTGTGAGGAAATGACTTACAAAATCCTAGTCATGTCCCTGGCACATTTCTGATGACTCCGGCAGTGATAATTTTACAGAGAAAATAGAGGCCAGTAGGTAGGAACTCCTCAGTTTTTTTTGGCCCATCTTATATAAAAACATACTTGTATTGCTTCTACCTTTGTTTCCTTCTTTCCTGTCTCAGTGGAAGAGGGTACCTCATCCTGCCCCAAATTAATCCTTCACCTGTGTCCTGAGGTGCCATCTTCTGTCTTATCTGGTACCTTAGTCCAGTAGAATTTCTTCCCTCTCTGTGTATTTTCGGCTTCTCCCTTTGTACCAGCTCCTTTCCCTCTACACATTAACATTTTATTTCTTTCCTCTACAACAAAATAAAATAACCCTCTCGCCTCCTCCCTTTAGTTGCTACCTGTCTTCATCTTTCCTTCCACAGCCAGGCTAATTGGAAGACTGGTCTACGCAGCTTCTTTACCCAGTACTCATTGTCTCGGGCTTCTGCCCCCAATGCCTTCTTGAAACTGTTCTTCCAGAAGACACCAACTGCTTAAATTGACTTCAGCTTGGCAGCCCTTTTCTTTCTTGACCTCTTTATAGCACTTGACATTGTCAATTATTCTTTGCCTCTTGGAACTCATATATCTTCTTTAACTTCAGCCTCTCCAGGTTTTTCTGTCGAAACCTTTGACAGCTCCCGCTCAGACTCCTCTGGAGGCTGCTTTTCTTTCCCCACCAGCCTTAATGTTCATATTCTGTAGGACTCTTCTCAGAAGGAGCTGACATTTATTGGACATGGGTATGTGCTGAGTGTTTGCTTGACGTGTATTACCTTTTTGATCCTTTGGCCACCCTGTGAAGTAGGTTCTTTATTAACCACATCTCAAAGCTGAGGACACTGAAGCTTAGAGAAGACAAACTTGCACAAGATAACAGCTGGGTACGTGGTGGAGTAAGCTGTCTGACCACAGAGCTTGTTGCACTCTCTCCCATTATGCCACATTGCCTTAGCAAACGTGTTCTAAGACCTTTGATTACTTCACATACACGTCTTCAAAAACTATGAAGTATCTGTTCAGCCTAACTATTTCCAGCCTCTCTACTTAAGTGTTTGATACTACATCAAGTTTAGTATGTCCAGCAATGACTCCGTCACCTTCTTTTTCCTTTCAGGCTCCTTTTAAACCCCAATATGCTATTATCCTCTGTTTTAGTGAATGATACCTACTTTCCAGGGAGTCATCACTTTTCTGCTTTCCATCTAATTGGTTTACCAAGATGTATTAGTTTTACCTCAAATCCACTCCTTTCACTTTAGGTTGGTATAGTGGCTAATAGCATTGGTTTTGGAATTAGATACATTTGGATCAAACCCAAGCATTTCCCTTTAATAGTGGTTAAAACTGGCAAGGTGCTCTGTGTCAGTGGCCATAACAGATACCCACCTTTCAGGAAGCTGTACAGGAGAGTGGTTACTAGGAATTCAGGATTAGTTGTGGATCCCTAACTAACTTTAGACAAGGTCAGGCCCTTCTGAACCCTGGTTTGCTCATTTGTAAAAGCAATAATAATAACTAACTCATGGGGTTGGTGTGAAGTTTAACTGAGATATTTTAAATATGCTTAGCATAGGAACTAGTACATGGTAAGCATTAAAAAAGGTTAACTTGTATTATCATTACCCACAGCCATTGCTTTTATCTAGACCTCAGCTTAGCCTGCTTTACTGAGATAAATAAACCCTTAACTGATTTCCCTCATTCCAGTCTTATCCCTTTCCCGTCTGTTCTGCATTCTGCTACCTGAGTGTTTTTTTAAGAAACGAATCTGATCATATTATCCCCTTGCTAAAATTCTTTAATGTAATGATTCTTAGTATCTCTCTCTCCACCCCCCCCCCCCCCC